CTGATCATTCACTGCCGCCGGGGGCTTCACAGGCCGGCTGCTTGTAGGTTAGACCCAGTCAGGTAACACAGTGAGTCCCTGTAGAGGAACATCCCCGAACATGCAGTAACCTAAGGCCCTGTATTTTCCTCCACATCCTCTGGTCACAGTGCAGCAGCAGGAGGTAAAATATATCCACAAAACCATATGCAGAAAAAAAAACGCTTTAATTATGGCCCCTGAATGTCTGTTTTATACTTTATTGAAAATACACATAACAAACAAGGCAATAAACATTTTGCCAATATGGTGAGGGCACCAGTGCATATCAGGCAAGCTCACATGAATGCACAACTGCCTGGAGAATATAACCATTCAAGGAAATTCCTAATTTTGTTAGAAAAAAAGTCTCACGAGCAAGAGTTTGTGAGATGTGCATAAACCAAGTTGCTTCTGCACGGAAATACTAGACCTATATACGCCTCATTTTTTTTAGCTTTAGGTCACCTTTAACCCTTCTGTTTTCTTCACATTTTTTTACACAGTCAGTCTTCACGGGTCTGGTGGACCCACTGCATTTTGGGGTTTTTAACTCAACACAATCAAACAATTTTATGTTAAAATACTCAACAGATGTTAACTTCATCCTATCTCTAACAAACATGAGTGTCACAAAAATACAGCAACATCACAAACCTACGTGTGAGCAGACAGATGTGAGCACTTGTATTTTGCAACACAGCTCCAAAAACCACACTTTTGACCCACACCTGGGTCAAGTTGACCCGCGGACTTCCTGTATGTAGTGTAAATGTGGAGGGAGAGAGTGCAGTGTGCAGTCATTGAAAATGTGTTCTGATATATATGTTCTTTACAGAAAAGAGCCAAGGCCAATGAGTCTGAGCTTGATGATAAAGGCGTTGCTGTCAGGGTTGGTGAGTAAAGCTGCCAACAATGTCAGTGGTGAACTCAATTATAATGCCAGACGAGATGTAGCAGATAACCTCCCTTTACTGAGCACGATAAACAGTACACCATACAAAAGTCCAGAAAACATACTCAAGTCGATAATACCAGACCAGGGTCAACACCGGCAAACTCACACAGCAAAGAAATGCAAGAGAAGTCACAGAGGGGAGTCCGATGGTTGGTGCACAGTAATCAAACAGAATCAGAAGGGTTAGGCAATAATTGGTAGTCAAAGGCAATCCGGGATCAGAGCAGGAAATACAGGCAACAAGAATACCGCTGGAAAGTCTGAATGGGAGTCAAGATCAATCTGGCAGCTTTCTGGTGGAGGGAAAGCTGTTTATAACGGGGGGAAAACAGGTGTAAACAATGAGTGCTTGATTAAAGTAAAAAGTCCGTAACTGAGATATGGCAATAACAGGAAGTTGACACAATAAAAGCATGAGACCGGAAACAGGCGGGACAGAATCATGACAGTTGTACGCTGATATGTCCAACATGTTGAAGAATATCACCAGTGGCCAGCGTAGTGTCCTCCTTTTGTAGCTGTAGGCAGTCACCAACTTGTCCATGTTGTCCATCCCTCTTTTTTTGGCATTGTAGTCAATGAGCTCTGGTTTTTGGCCACAGATTTTCCCATCACTGTGCAGTGTACTCATGAGCAGAACATTCTTACCTTTTTTTGGCACATAGGACACCAGGGACATGTCAGCTGTGTACAAAAACTTTGAAGAGTTGACAGGCCTGTTCTTTATAGTCAAAAGTTGGGGTGGGAGCTCAAACTTGTTTTTCTGAATCTTTCCCACCATGGTCAGCTTCCTCTTTAGGAGCTCTTGTCCCAGCTTGTGCGAGGTAAAAGAATTGTCACATATGATGTTGTGTCCATTAAGTTGCTGAGTCAGACCCAGGACAACTCTCATAGCTTGACATGTAGTGGAACCATGATAAATAACCAGATAATACCAATGTGATACAAATATTATATGTGATATAAAGGTCATGCCAATTTTCTTTATACCACCAGGCATGAAGGAAGTATATGTCCTTAAATAATGTGCTTGCACCTTTAGAAAATGGCCACAGGCAGATAATCCATTTATAATGTCACTATTGTATTTTTATGTGTGTGTATGCTCCAATATGAACGTGTATGTGTGTGTACTGTTTTTGCCCTGAGGGTGAATGTGAGCCTAAGTAAAACCCAGTCTGGAGAATGATATAAAGTATAACCCTCGATCCTCTGCGACTGTACTGTTTGTTCATGTGCTGTTTGCTTTAAGTGCATTTTTAACCATGTCATTGGTCAGCCTGTCTGTTGGTCCACTGAATTATTTTGACAACTATTGGAAAATTAGCAATGAAATGCTAATATCCATGCTAATATGTTAAACATGAACATGCAGAATGAATAGTAACAAACATATTGCTAAGCTCATGTTGTAAAGAATATTACATCCATTTTCAGGGGTTAGCATGACTGTAAAGGTTTAGGCTTAATATACTCTGAATCACTATGCAAATTTGGGCACATTTATTGTGTGTTCTAACAGGACATATTTATTATTCGTGTTAAACACCCACACTGACAAGCTATCTTTAGGGCCTGAAAATACAGTATGTATATTCTGACATATTAATTGGCATACTGTAATCTTTAGTATACGTGTATGCGCATGTTTGTAGATGTTCCTGTGTATATGCGTGTATGTTGTGGCTGCTGGCATTATAACATTACACGTATGCTTCCGCTGCCTGCCAAGTCATATATATTAAGGGTGTTTTCACACTTGGTCCCTTTTAAATTAACCAAACTCAGTTCTCTTTTAAGTGGACCAAAAAGGGACCCAGTCCTTATTGTGTTCACACTGTGAGTGCATTTGAAAGAGGACTCAGTTCTGATGGGGCCTCAGTCCTCTCTCTGTTCATACTGTCATTATTCTGAGCTCTCAGACCTTTACTACGTTCACATATGAGTTTTATGTCAAAAGGATTCTCTACTTTATCTCTTTTTGTTGTGAAGTATTTTTTTTTACTTTAGTGCAGCATTGCAATAGGGTCCTAATGAAGCCCCTCACTTTCACATGAGCTGAAAACTTTAGTGTGTCTGAGCATTAGAGACTGTTGTAGTTTGATGTGTTCTCTGTTCCATATCTGGAGAAGTTCTTCCTTCCACCAAACAGTACTACTGCTGTGTAGTTAAAAAAAAAAAAAAAAAAAAAGATTTTTGTGCATTGCTTTATTTCTTATTTTCTCATATTTACCGTTAACATTATTGGGTAGCAAATTACATCAGCATTGTTTTGAACAAACCACTAAACTATAATGTGATTACTATAATGTAAAACAAACAAACAAACACAAAAACAGAACACAACACTTTTTCTTTGACAGTAATGTGAGATGCCTCCAGCCCCTAAGTGATATCAACCCCTGCTCTAAGTCAAACAGAAATGAACGACAGTTCGCATGATGCTTTGACCTTTGCAGATTGAAATTCATGAATAAATCCACAACAATCCACTGGCTAATAGTTGTTTTTATTTATTAACCCATATTCGTATCATTTAGAACTGTGTGCGCAGGCTTAAGGCTGCTTAAATAACATACCTAGGCAAGGAGACTACAAGCTAGTCAATGGAAAACTGCATTTCTCCAGGATGGACTTTCACTAGGTACTGTATCTCAACAGACTGTGGCTGTTTCCTCCCTTATATCCAAAAAAACTAGAAGTGAACCTGGAGGGCTTCATGTTCACAGTGCACAGATTAAGCAAACCACATCATGAACTTGAAACACCAGCATGAGGACTTGTTAGTGATTGTTTTTGTAACATAATTTCCGGATTATAAGCTGCACCCACTAAATGTAAGATGAAAAAACATGTACATAGCCGCAGGTGTCCACATTGTAACATGAGATATTTCGACAGCCAGATCGATCGCCTGTAACTTGACGCGGCATCATATGCATTTCGTCGTGTGTTGTCCATGATGAGGGTGTGTGCATGAAGCGACAAAAGTAGCGACTTACTGTATAGTCCGGAAAATATGGTATTTGTTTTGCACTGGGAAGATTCTGAGCATTATATGGGGCTTATTTCACAGCAAGGTCCTTTGTAGGATTTTACTGGTAAGCATACATCAAACTTGATCAGTCTTGGTCAGTTCTGATTGGCACCCTGGTTCAATAAACCAGAAAACCACTTCGTCTGTTTGTCCACCACTACTATGTCTGGAAGTCCCACAGGATCTTTGCATGATCATTCTCAACCACCTTTGGAGGTGTATCCCATTTTGACTTTGGGACGTCTAGCCTGTACTCAGTACAAATGTTTCTGTACACTATGCCAACCACTTGGTTATGGCGTTCCATGTTTGCCCTGCCTGCTAGCATCTTGCACCCCACTGTTATGTGCTGGATTGTCTCAGGGGCATCTTTGCACAGCCTGCACCTGGGGTCCTGTCTGGTATGGCTATTGATCTTGTACTTAGAGCCTGTTCCTGTGCTGCCAGGATTAGTGCCTCTGTGCTGTCTTTCAGCCCAGCTTTGTCCAGCCACTGGTAGGATTTTTCGATATCAGCCACTTTTTCTATTTGATGGTGGTACATACCGTGCAGAGGTTTGTCCTTCCATGAGGGTTCCTGCTCTTCCTTCCCTTGTTCCTCTGGTTTCTACTGCCTGAGGTATTCACTACGCACATCATCACTCGGGGCCATCTTCCTTATGTATTCATGGATCTTTGTTGTTTCATCCTGGATAGTGGCTCTGACACTCACTAATCCTCAGCCTCCTTCCTTCCGCTTAGTGTACAGTCTCAGGATGCTGGACTTAGGGTGAAACCCACCATGCATTTTAAGGAGCTTCCTTGTCTTTATGTCGGTGGCCTCTATCTCCTCCATTGGCCAGCTTATTATGCCAGCGGGGTACCTGATAATCGGCAGGGCGTAGGTGTTAATCCCCCAGACTTTGTTCTTTCCATTCAGCTGACTTCTCAGGACTTACCTTACTCTCTGCAGGTACTTGGTAGTTGCTACTTTTTTATGTGATGTGAAGCCCCAGTGGCCTAATGGATAAGGCACTGGCCTCCTAAGCCAGGGATTGTAGGATCAAGTCCCATCTGGGGTGGTTGTATGTATATATAAAATCAAACTAGTTAACTTAAACACACAAATCTAATTTCACAATCAAGAGGCTTGGGGTTTTATATTACATATTTCCAGATGGTGTTATTTGTAAGCAAGTGTCTTAATTCTGTCTGTGATTCCTGTAGTTGTCACTTATGATGTGTTTATTATTCAAATCTGCAAGCACTTCCACCTTGAGTTGTGCTCAGTCAGTTTTCTCCACTTTGCTAAAGCATTGTTGGAGCATGCAACGTGGATAGTGTTCACAGTGTACACAGACAACAGCATCAGTTGTCAACTAGCCCCAAATCACAAGTTACCTTACTACATCCATGTAAACTCTGAGAGTAAAGGAGAACGTCAGGTGCCATTACCATAAAGTTACACAAACTGGCAAGTGTACTGTATATGTCAGGGGAGATCGAGAGGTCAAGTAAAGACTGGCCTTTAACACAGGAGATCACTGTTCCTTTCCAACCAACAATTGTTCTTGTTTTTAAACATGACCACAATTATAATACTAACCATGCTAACAAAGTTCCTCTATCCTAAGTAACCAGTGTCCAAACCAAGATTTTTCCTTATACCTTGTGCCAAAACCTAATCCAAGCCTAACCATAGCATTGTCACATCATACAAGAGACTTAGTAATGGGTTTGGATGTCACAGATAAATAATATCAGTGTTTAATTTGTTGGAATTGCTGAGCCCTGCACACAGATTATATTCTTCTCTGTTTCTGCATCCATATTTATTGAACAACGCTGACTTTTAATAAGCACAGGAGTATTTGGGATATTTGAGGTCAGTTATAAAATAGACACTTTGACTTTGTGATTACTCACCTGATATTTGCGGATATACAAGCAGAGCTGTTCTTCAAAGAGCAGTGTATGAAAGTATGTCATTTTTGCTCCCATGTATTTGTCATTTGAGAACACCTAATATAACACAATTGGTCAGAGGTAGACGTAATATGACACTACTTCCCTGTTGTACTACAACTTATTAAACTGTTCTCAAGGCAAAATTCTAAAATGGAAGAAAAAAATGGCAAAGCAGTTTTTATTATTGCATTTTACATCTTGATCTTGCTTCTTGGTTTTATGTTCTGCCCTAATGCATCTGCTTTAATTATCTCGCCTCTATTGTAAAAATATGGCATTAGTATTTGTGCCAACAGAGCAGTGGAATCTGTGCCAGGGTCTTGTCAGTGCCTCTACCTTCACTTGGTAGCTGATAGAGGTTGATTAAAGTCATAGATTACTTAATGTTTCTTTAAGTAAAAATTGAATTACAGAAATCAAACAGCACTCCATTAGAGTAAGAAGAGTAAATGTATTTCCACCCTTGGGAATGCCAGCAAGCCGCCGCTCTGACAGGAGAGCTGCTTTCTTACTGCCAATGCCATCAGCAGAGCCAAAACCCCTCCTGTGTTCCCCAGCCTCCCATAGCACCTCCACACAGGGGAGAGACATTGATCAAGTGTCAGCTGTGGAAGAGGGCCCAGTAGATAAAGAGCTGCTGGAGGAGGCCATAAAGTTGGAACCCATCCACCTTCCTGTCTTTAAATCCTTTAGTCTGTTGGTGGCCACTGGGTGTATCCTCTCCCATCCTGTGCTGGCTGCTTTGTTTGCCAACTGCAAGCCCAATCAACTGCAAGAGTCCAACTCCTCCTCTGGCTGCAGTCCTGGTCCATATCCCAGGAGCTGCCTTGCTCCTGGCCTCAGTACGATCCAGATAAGAGGATTTCCCCAACCAGCATTTTCATACCTCAGACACTAGCTGCTGACAGTGCTGAGGTGAGGCTGTCAAATGTATATAGTTTCACAGCATGGGGGGTATCGATTCTCTCATGCAGTTTTTCTGTTTCTCTTGGTGCTGCCTCTGCATGAGAGAAGCAACAGTGGATAAAGCTGGGTGATGTTTACACAGAGCAACATGAGGATGAATCCATCCGCTGTGGGTGTATATGTGAAGATTCTGACAAAGCAATCAGATTTTAAAATTGTTAATTGGAAAACCTGTCAGAAATTACCATCAGGAACAGAAAATATTGTGACACCACAGTTTTTAAATTTAGTGGCATATTTACCAACACTGATGTTGTAAATGAGCACAGCAGCAGCTGTGTTAATTTGACTACACCTCTTCTGATCTGCTGCCTGAAGGCTGTGCCAAATGTGTGGGCTGAGGGGAAGTGTAGAAGAAAGGCCAAGTAGTGACCAAATTTTAATATGGCTGAAGAAATCACAAACACATTTCAGAACTTCAATCACGTAGTCTCCCCCGAATCAAATCATCTTTTATTTTGTTTAGTAACTGAAGCGTGGTTTAACCTGGAACTCTGTACAAGTCCCTCACATCCTCCTCTAACATGTTCTAACTCCAAAGAGATGTCAGATGACTGACAGCTGCCATGGTCAGAGCAGGGCTGTACACCTCCTTTCTCCACATGTTTAATTTCAGCCAGGGTTTCCTCTGTTGCAGTGGTGGCAAATCAGGTGCTGAGGGTGTTTGTATAAATTTCCTCCCTCATGTTTGCATCCCTGAATGGGAACGCCTCAAAATACATATCTAAGCATATCTGGTCAATCTACGTTCTGACTCTCACCTATGGTCATGAGCTTTGGGTCATGACCGAAAGGGCAAAATCCCAGATACAGGCGGCCAAAATGAGCTTCCTCCACAGGGTGGCTGGGCGCTACCTTAGAGATAGGGTGAGGAGCTCGGCCAATCTGGAGGAGCTCAGAGTACAAACGCTGATGATCCACATCTAGAGGAGCAAGATGCGGAGGGTCGGGCAGCTTGTTAC